TGGTAGCCCAGGCTGGCCTCAAACTCACAGAGATCCGCCTGCCTCTGCCTCCCGAGTGCTGGGATTAAAGGCGTGCGCCACCACCGCCCGGCGAGAATCTGTCTTAATAAACAAACCCACCTCCCATCCCCCGTCCCGAGACACAAACAAATTTCCTCCCTAAAACTTTTAGCAAGACGGTAATTTTGACTCATTGACATAAGAGATTTCAGTATTAACAACCAGCTCATTTGATGTGGCGGTTTCTTGTTCTGCTGTGGTATCAGTGAGGTTTTGCCAGATGGATTTCCATTAGCTGAGTATTCAGATTTCACATATCAAGTTCTTGGGGTAATTTGTTCAGAGTTTGAGAGGGGGAAATCAGAAGCTTGGAGCCCCATAATCCTATCCCTTCCACACCTCCACTCCCACCCCTTACCCATCCCAGGCCAGCCATGGTGAGAAGTTGTAAAAGGGGTGTGAGAGCTGAGCATGTGGAGTCCTCTAAGATGCAGTTGCAAACGACTTTTCCAGAAAAGCAGGTGGGTACAATGATTCTTTCCCATTGCAAATGGTTTTTATTCTCCTGACACCCTCTCTCCTCTGTGCTTGCAGGAAACTGGGTCTCTTGAAGAGTCTACAGATGAATCAGAGGTAAGATGGAGCCTGCAGATTTGCCATGCACCTTGATGCTGTCTTGAGCTTGTTGGCAAAGAAGTATGGCATTCCCAGGGCCTGGAAGATAAGAAAAAGGGCTAGAAGAACAGGGCTGTAAAGATTTAAGGAATTGTGTGCTGGTTGTCTTTAAAACATTAAATGGATTAACTTAAGCATATATAGAGAAAACCAAACAGGAATGTTTCTCTTCATCTTTGGAGACGAAGGCATTAGTCATTACACTATGGATTTCTATCTGTTATCTTGAATGGCGTTTTTACCTGCAGCTATGTATGCTGGGAAGACTGACATAAAGTTTTAGAAACTGATGCCCACCTGCTAAAGCCTGCATGTTTTCACAGTTTTTACATTGTGGTTTTAAGGTGTGTGTGTGTGTGTGTGTGTGTGTGTGTGTGTGTGTGTGTGTGTGTGTGTATGTATGTATGTATATTTTTTCTCCCTCTTCTTACTTTGACGATTCTGCCCGGCTCCCCACATTTGGTAGACAAGTGCCGCACTGCTGAGTCATGCCCCCAGTCTGTATGTTCATTCATTTTCTTTTTCTTTTTTTCTTTTTCCGAGACAGGGTTTCTCTGTGTAGCTTTGCGCCTTTCCTGGAACTCACTTTGTAGACCAAGCTGGCCTTGAACTCACTGAGATCCGCCTGGCTCTGCCTCCCAAGTGCTAGGATTAAAGGCGTGAGCCACCACCGCCCGGCCATTTTCTTTTTCCATGAATGTGAATGATCATATACCTTATGCTCACTGCCCCTATCTATATTTCCTGAATCAATGAAATTGTAGCTCATTGCTTTAAAAAGAAAACTACTAGGGAGTTTTGTTAAAGACTATTACTCAAGGGAAATAAAATTGTTCTTTTAAAATTGACACTGCTTTGAAAATTGACTCTGTATAAGAAATAGGATGAGCATAATGCAAATTAATTAGATTATAAATTGTGTGGATGGACTAATGGATAATTTGTTTTCTTTTAATATTTTATTTAGGAAAGGCAAATGAAAATGTATCTTGCTAACCTGCAAGAAATTTCTACCAGTGTGACTGTATCTGATAATCTCATCTTTTGTTGATATACATTGCATATTATATGGATTTTGCTTTTCTTGTGAAATAGTAGGTTTATACATACTTCTCCAGATAGCATCATATAGATTATGACATTTTCTGGTCATGGCTCTTAAGATTTCACTGTAGGATTCTTAGTACCATGAGACCCCAGGTGCTTCCTTTCTGAATTTGCTCATAAGTAGAAATGATATCTGCTAGTGTCTGGCAGTGTGTGGAAGAACAGTTCCGATGATCTCTGAGAAAGGAACACTGTCTTCTATTGTGTATGATTTTCATTGATTTTGAAAAGTGAAACCAAATGAAGAGTTTGGCAAGGGTGGTAGTGTTGATATAGTTGGGAGTTATACTAGGTGACTAAGGACCAGGAATTAAATTTGATGGATTAAAAAATGTTGTTAAAAACCAACACTTCTCTCAAAAAACTAAAAACCAAAACCAAAAAATACCCCAACACTTCAGTTTTGTAAAAGAAAATTTTAATTTACTTATATTTTTTTATGAGTGCTCTGCATGTATGATGCAGAAGAGGGCACCAGATCTCATTACAGATGGTTGTGAGCTACCATGTGGTTGCTGGGAATTGAACTTAGGACCTCTGGAAGAGCAGCCAGTGCTCTTAACTGCTGAGGCATTTCTAGAGCACCCAACACATCAGTTTTAAGAGGAGATCCAAGGAGAGAGAAGAGCACCATATGTGGGCTGAAACATTGGGGTCTGCTTTGTAAGAAGGCTGCATTGGCCGTGTATGATTCATACAACAACTGAAATAGCCAAGTTTTGGTTGATTTTTGTCTGTAGTGCATTCCATTGAGGCAAAGATTCAAGTACATACTTTGCATCTCTTAGTCCCTGGCCAAGGTGTGTAATAACAGAATGGCTAATTACTGTCACCTCTATCCTTATAGTTTTTGCTACTGTTATTAAAAAACATACTTTCTAAACATGATGACTTTGAGGTGGTTTAGTTTATTCACAGTTCTGATGGAATGAGTATGTTTCATAAGTTAAATAGTTTAGTTTTAAACATTAAAATTAAAATGAATTGGCAGCTGAAGCTATTCAAAATAATATGGCGAGTGAGAAATTAATCTTCAAATAAAATCAACTTCTAGGCATTTCAGCCCCATGGAGAGTTCCCTTGCAGTTTTGTTGAAGTGAAAACCAGTCATTGTGAGAAATCAGGAGAAGTTATTTTTAAATCAGAAAATGCACCACACAAAATTATTTAATCTCACGTGCTAAACAGAGGTTATGAATCATTTATTGAAAATTCAATTGATTTTTTTTTACTCATATTAATTGTAATATACAGGTTTCTAGCAACTAGTACCTACAATGGTAATTACCCTGTTCTGAATTGATTGCTGTGTAAAATAGTGTAGACTTACAGGGTTCCATTTTTCTAGGTAGCCCTTAGATTAAAAATCTGTTCTTTTATTTAAAGACCTATTAGTATTAAAATAGGCTCTGCTGATTATTGCATCATTCAGGTATGGATAAACATTCCCTTTGAAGCAAATCTTATGAATATTATCCTTTTAGAAACTTGTAGAACTTTCTGGATGTAAGATTTTCACTCCATGTATCTGCCATTTATTATAGATTAAAAAGATAAACATGGCCTAATAGACCTTTGAATGTAATTTGTAATTTTACTGCTTGGAAGGAAAATTATTTCTGACAGTTCAAGATTGACTAATTGATCACTCAAATACTTATTGAATACTAGGATACTACAGTGCACCAGTGCTGATCAAGAAGGTGGACAATAAACAAGAATACTTATTAGGATATGTCAGATAATAAATGTAGATTAAAAATGTGTTTGGGGAGGTGGGGAAGATATGGGAGGAGTTTGGGGAAAACTGCAATCAGAGTGTATTGTGTAGAAAGTATTTTCAGTTAAAAAAGAAACAACATTGATTGAGGGGAATGGGGAGCAGCCTGAGGGGTTGATGGTTTACCTTTCATTGTAAGTGACAGTTTTTCTGATAGAGTGATCTTGTGTCCTTATTTTGGACGGCATCAAGCTTGGGCCTTGAGAGTAACCTTTATCAGGCAGAGCAGTGACTGCCCCAGCCCCTGACTCAGAATGAGAATTGTTTGATTCTTGGATTGTATTCACAAAGTGAAAATGATTTAAGAAGCAAATGAAAACTGTTTAGCTTAGTTTTGGCTCTGGGCATACAGCTCCATACCTACTAATTTTAACCTTCTGCTTTCAATGTTAATCTAGTAACAGAAAGAATGTTTCTCCAGAAATATCTCTTTCCTTATCCCCAGAACCTGTGACTATGACATATTACAGAACCAAGAGGAGTTAAGGTTGGCGCTCAGCTCACTTTGAGATATGGAGTTTCTTTGGAACATGTGGGCAGGACCAGTGGGATCTTAAGGGTCTTGACAGATGGAACAGAAAGCCAGAAGAGAGTATGGTCTGGTGTGGTGTGTGTGGTGTGGTATGCGGTGTATGTAGTATGTGGTGTGTTGTATGGCATGGTGTGGTATGGTCTGTGGTGTGTTGTGTGGCATGGTGTGGTGTGGGGTATGGTGTGGTGTGTGGTGTGGTATGGTGTGGTATGGTATGATGTGACGTGGTATGTATGTGAATCCTGCTCAGGGCTATTTGCTGTGGACTTCCTACTACAGAATTGTAGACAGATGTGCATTGTTTAAAGGAACAGTATTTGTCATCATGTTTTATAGTACTGATAGGAAACTAATGCATTAAATAGTTTGATTGGATGACCTTGTGTCCACAGTTCTCTCACGTGGCTTACTTTATAGTTTAGGGAGTGAAATACATCCAGACAAGGGAAGGCATCCTGGAAGCACTTGGTGTTTAAACTGGTTATCCTAGGATGTCGTGGGGAGCTGTTTGTAAAGATGTGTGTATCTTTCTGATGACTCTTCTCAAATATTGTTTAATTAATGATTTCACTTGACAGTTGGGGTCCAAATCTGCTTTGTAGAGGCTTGAAGGCTTCTTTCTCTGTAGACCAAAAATGCTATAAGGAATCTGCATAGTTCTGTGGTTCTTTTCATCCCAGGTTGATACTTTGTTTATAAATATAGAGATTACCATGTACCTGTTCTGTCATGTTTCTTTACTTCAGAATATGACTGGTTCCTTCAGCAATCTCAGAGGACTAAATTGATCTCCTTGTACAGAGAGAGATTGGAGAGGGCCAACCACTGGAAGAGCTTGAGATTTTAGGCTCTTGTCATTGTTCTCAGCACCAAGGGACTGGGCAGTTTGGGAGTTTTGGCTTTGTGATAGGCATCTGGGAGAGGCTCTTGTTAATCTGTAGGAAACGGCAGTACCTCCTCTTCTTTTTTCATTAGCCAGACTCACACTTAGCTGTGTTTGAGTACTTCTGTTTTTCCTCATGGATGTTCAGGATCAAACCCCAGGGCCAGAGTGTGCTAGAGAAGTGCTCTGTCACAGAACTGCATCCTGAGCTGAAGTCAAAGGCAATGAATGTGTCGTTGTTATAAGGAGTCAAAGAAGTATTTAGATTCCAAGTGTTTCTGTTCATTCGATAGTATGTTCTAGCAGTGTACTTGGAAGTTAGCACTTGAAGGAGGAGATGAGTTCTGCAATTTAAACTTGTGGTATTACACTTGTTACTTACAAAACTTTAAAAAACTGACATTCACTGGATACTGCCAGATACTATACTTTATGAACAGTTTGTACATTTAAATTTTACAAAAACTCCCCGATATTATCATCCCTTTTAAAAGTAGGGTAACTCAGGTTTTAAGATACTTGCCCAGTGTATATGGGTTATCTGTGGTGCAGCCAGTAGAAGATACATTTCTTTAGGATCAACTGCTTGGTTTGGAAGCAATTGATTAAATTGGGCAAAAAAATGAAGTAAAGGTTTGCAGCTCTAATCTTGCTTTATGTGCCCCTGTACATTCAAGTTAGCACGGGCCAAGGTACAAGTATTAACCTTTCATAGTTTATACTAGTATATTACCTTC